AAGAAAGAAAATAACGTCCGGGGAGAAAGAAAGCTAGAAATAGGCATTGCATACAGACAGAATCGCGCGTTAGGTTTGCGACTGTGTTTGGGTTGGTGCGCTTTAGTTCTCACAGGATTCTGACAGATAAACAGACGGATGTGTCGTCCCCTCCACAGCGAAAATCTGCTCGCAGTATAGAGCCAAACTGACATCAGAGAGACCATGTGTGAACGCAACATGCTACATGAAACAGAGCACTATACGATCTTTCCTGGAAATACACATGATGACACAATGTAATAGAAAGCATGCATGCATTGATGCATACACAAACATGCAAACACATACAGAAGGAACAACTGTTAACAAATATAAGAGCAACAATCTACTCATGTCCACAGTAGGCCTCAAGACTCACAAACACTGCAAATGTATAAACACACAGATAGAAGGATGAAGGGAACGATCTAATGAACATTTGAGCTTCTGTTCATTCATGAGCCATCAAAAGAGACTTTAATGTTGCACTCGGGAACAAAACCGACCAAGTCAAATGGCTCCGTTATTCAAAGGGTTCTTGTGATCGGATCCGTCGGGCAGTGAGATAGACAGAACTGGACCTGTGCAGTCGGGTAACCTCAAGCCCTCTAGTACACATATACAGTTAAAGCGAATGGCTTATGGGATGAGTTGCGCATTGTGCATTCTCTTTGAAGCTGTGTGTTGCGTTGAGAGCTGAGCATGAGAGAATATGTGAGTGTATTATATGTGCAAGTGGCTTGTATGAGTGTGACAAAATCCAAAGCGTGGCTCGGAATAATGTGATACACAGATTATCTAAATATAGACCTATAATCTGACATATTTAACCCAAAACACTGGCATACTATTAGAGCTAGGTGATATTTTGAATACTTTGTAAATGTCTGAGTGAGATGTGTTAGTTGTCAGAATGATGAGAGTGTTCACTTTTTTTATTGAACTTCGCATATTGTTCAACCCCAATGTATAATTATGGCTGGGTGATATATAGAATATTTATGAAATGTTTGAGATGACAATCTTTCCTTGTCTTATGACTCTCAAGTATGAGAGGTTTAAAACAGTTTTAGTAGCATCTTTGATTTTTCAAAGTAGCATCAGAGTTTGTTCAATTCATCTATATGAATCAGAATCAATTAAGCTCTGATTCTCTGATCATCACTCAAAAATGTTCATGAAAGTCTCCACAAAATATTTTTTATCCCCAAAACACTGGCATACAATTAGAGCTAGGCAATATAATACATATTTACAAAATATTTTATTTGATTCAATTTATCTATGTGAATCAGTTCAAATCAGTAACTTGTTTGTGTTATCTTGTCACTCAAGAACGTTAATGGAAGTCCCAGCATAGTGTTTTTCACATATTAAAATGTTTCAGTAAAATATTTGTAGGTAAATATCGCAGTTTATTGGGATGTGATGTTATGTTGATCCATATCAATGAAAAATGTTACATCTTATTTAATAATATTTTAGCAGATTTAGGTTTTAATCATTTAAAAATAAAAAACAAGGTATTTAGTGCAGTGTTAATTCTTGCATTGATTTATTTTTTGCAGATTTGGTAAAAAAAAAGATTGATCACTTTTGGGTCATTTCAGAGCAAATACATAGTGTTATATATATACTGAATATCATTAAAAGCCCTAAAATCACCCAGCCCTATACATCCAGTGCATATGCATGTGTATTTTGGGGGTGAATCACTGTGGCCATGGCGGCAGAAATAACATTTCACTCTTGTTTTAACGTAACATTAGCAAAATGAAAGACACTGCGATAGAAAGTTGGAGGCTGAACTCTATCTGAACTCTATTCACACACACATCATGTTAAACGAAATGACAAACATCATCCAAACATGTCATTCTGCAGAGAATACGGCTTTGTTGGAGAGGTGTGACAGAGCGTTATCTGTTCACAGTGACGCTTTTTTGTAGACTGACAGCTCTGGCGCTATTTTACAGCTTTTTCGTAAGACATGATGACTTAAATCTATACAATGAACGGAATAACGCCCCATAATCTAAACGATTTATATTAATACAGCTTTTTCCATTTAATAAATCTTTCTTTTTAATTAAAAAATAAATCAGTTGTGTCCCCGAGAGATAATTTCTCCGCTGGTTCTGGGAGGCCATTCTTCAACTGAAAGCCTCGTAAAGACCTCCAGAGAGCAATACGTATGGAGAGCGCGAGAACTGCCAAGAAAAGATTACATGTCCATTGTCAGCTCTTAATAATTTGGCTTTCTGAAAGACCAAATAGTTTGCCAATGGTTTCTTTTATAACACACCTCACTGCGTTTGCTGCACACTAGTTAAATCCCTCTTTTGTCTGTCTGTCACACTATTAATAATGTCTCTCTCCAAAACACACACACACACAGAGACCAAAAGCGAGCAAGCATGAGAGAGAGAGAGACCTTTTCTACTGTACTGGGAGTGTGTGCATTGTACATTTGAATAGATATCGAACCATAACACAATAAAACTAGTTAAATGTGTCTGGTAAAACAGTGTTAATGGTGTGGAACACAAGCAGGCAGGGATTTGAAGTGATGCAGTTGCCCAGTGACCAATCAGCTCCTGACCTCAGTCCCACAGAGACGGTCAGAATGTCAGCCGACCGCTGCCCCGCCATCAAAACCTGGACAGATTTAGGTTAAACTCTGGCTAACGCACAGATCCGTCATTTAGAAAGACAGAGACTCATCTTACCCCTGTATTTTTGTGTGCGCACAGGAAGCTACCAATATAAACCTCTGCCACTGCCACACCAGCAGACCATACAAAGCCAAACCGCGCCAATAAACTTAATGTTTTTACATCAGCGTCCGTTTATAACATCAGACAAGTGGAAAATGCATTCTGTCTGTCTGCTCTATGTTCTTTTACCCTGGCAGATTAAATGTTTGAATCACACAAGGCTTTCTTAAAGGGATAGTTCACCTAAGAATGAAAGCTCTGTCATCATTTACTCACCCTAATGTCATTCCAAACTGGTATGAGTCTGCAGAACACAAAAAAACATATAATTTGAAGAATGTTGGGGTCCAAGCAACATTGGACCCCATTGACTTTAATTGTATGAGACATTTGTGTGTGTTCTGCAAGAGAACAAAAGTCATACGGGCTTGGAATTACATGAGGGTGAGTAAATGATGGCAGAATTTTCATTTTTGAGTGAACTATCAATTACTCTCTTAAAAATAAAGGTTCGGAAAGGTTTTTTTTTAAGGATGCCATATAAGAACCATTCAGGTTCCCAAAAGAACCTAGCTTGAAGAGCCTTTTAATAATCTGAAGAACACTTTTTCACTATACTCTTAAAAAAAATCAAAGATTCTTTATTGGCATCAATGGTTCCATGAAGAACCTGTAACATTCATGGAACCTATCCACTGCACAAAAGGTGCTTTATATATATAAGAAAAACATGGTTATTTTAAGAACTGTTCACTGAAAGGTTCTTTGGGAAACCAAAAAATGGTTCTTCTATGGCATCGCTGTGAAAACCCCTTTTAGAACCTTTCATTTTAAGAGTGAAGATCTTTTTATGGATGTTAAAGGTTCTCCGTGGAACCATAGATGGCCATTAAAGAAACTTTATTTCCAAGAAGAAATCAAAGTCAGTCCAGTCAAGAAGTTTGTATCAAGTTGATTCGATTTATATAATCTGATTTCCACTTCGCTTCTCATTGAGTTCTCTCAAAATTCTAATTTATGACTGGGTGCTTAAATACATGGTGACTGGAGACTTCAAAGTACACGGTACTGTAAAATCTTACAGAATTGCTGCTGTCCTGAGAAAGCCTCTAATCTCAAAGGGTCTAAAATAGCAATCTTCTAAGAGACAGAAAGAACACCAGTTGTCAGAATGAAAATTTAAGGCGTCTCAAGCTATTGTTTGCTTTCCCGCAGATTTTAGGCTCCTTAAAGACATAAAGGGCATCTGACACAACTGTCAAGCTCATAAACAGGCGGTCTGCCTCTGCAACACCATCCAGCGCTTGAGTCATTATAAACTATGGAGAAAAACTTTGCCCTGAACACACTTCACTACTCCAAACAACACAAACAGCTGTCTCATTTGAGCATAACTTCTGACCGACTGTAAATTCACAGCAGACTTTTATAATGTTGGCACGTTTCAAAGGTGAAAGCTTTCTTTGCTGCGTTTCTAATAAAAATGAAAAGTTGAACTGTAACAGCATGTTTACCGTTACAATATTTAGGCTGTAATGACAGGTTGACTTCTTTCGGTTACTGGCCGGATATCAAGTCATGTCGAGTTGATTTATTCCGCCCTTTCGTGAATCAGATTGTGCCAATAGAACAAACCTCAATGTATGTGTGTGTGTGTGTTTGTGTGTCCAGAGTAGCAGGAAAAGAGAATATACAAGCTTCTGGACTGGAATTATGGAAGTGTGCCACACAATAAGGCAGAGGTGCAACTAAACAAGCACTTCTCTATGTTTTTGAATACATTAACAATTAGATTGAGAATAGCCTATATGAAATGCATTACAAAAGTGTATGCTTCAAGACATAAATTGCATGCTGGTTTTAATTACTAAGCAATTGCACTGTAACACGAACACTAATTCAGACTGTGACCCCTTATTGTCACAAATGCTTGATACATTATTTAACATAGGCTACTTAAGATGTTTACATTAAGTTATGTAGCCTATAAATCCTACACCTGCGGTCTTGTAGTAGTATTATAGTAAACATTCACCAACAAGTCTCGGAAATAACAAGACAATCCATTCCTGCTGCGTTCATAGGCTAGTGTTGTTATCATTTAATAAACTTTGAATTGGGGAGATTAACGTGCGAAGCGTGAATTTCATAGAAGTTTTCATGCAAAATTCTCAGTTCAGCGCAGGGTTTGTTATGAACATAGAGATGTGAAGGACATCGGCATCATCATCATCATCATCATCTCCTGTGTGGATCTCTTACCTCCACACTGAATTGCTGCTCCTCACCGTCCACAGCACATAAAATCCACAGCAAGAACTGCGCGCACAAGCAATTCAACCCTCTTCTATTATTCAGTGTTAACAAAACCATAATGACCCGTATTTAATCGTTTTGGCTGCTTGCTTTTATTAATAGTCAATAATAAAAAAAAATCAAAGAACAAAAGAAGGAATAATTCCCTCTGGTCTCAGTGGGTTGGAAACATTAGAGGCAGGCAAACAGTCGTCACGTCGAGAGATATAATAATAATAATATCATATCACTCCGGGAGGCTCTGCTGATCGCGTTGTTTGCTCCTTTAGAGTTCGTCTCGTCTTTGTCTCCCGGAGGCGCAGATGTGATGATGATGATGCTCAGATAAGTCACATTTAGTTGTGCTGCTCCTCTTCTGCTCAGCGCGATGGACTGCGAGTTTTCAACCATACCTCTCCCTTCTGAGCATGCGCACTGAGCTCCGCTATCAATCCCACCTCAGCGGAGAACCCACGGAGAGCAACGTCACGGAATCCTAGATCAGAAACACAACACCAAACCGGAGTAAATAACACCTACTGTAGTATAAGACTATTATGTATTATAATTGATAATAACATTTAATAATAGTTTTTATTTCATTATTCATATTTTATTATTATTATTAGCTGTAGTAGTGGTATGCTAACTAAAATTAATAATCTACATTTATTTTTGTTATCAACTTTATATGTATATTAGTTATAGAGAGAGATATTATGTATATTCTATATATGTTATATATACAGTATGTAATAAAGTTAACATAATTTATTCTTTATCCTTTTGTGTTTACAAGACATCTTGGCTACCCTTTCTTGGATGCCTTTTAACATGCAGTGTACCGTTCATGTCCACTAGAGGGCGTTTCTCTTGCTGTCTTACAGCATACAAAGAATGGGACTTCACAATTAACCCACTTTTAAGGCAATGTACAACGGGGCAAAAAGGCACACCTTAAGAAAAATGTGCTTTTCACTACTCCCATAGTGTATGATTACAGAAAAAAAAGTGTTGATTGAACATTGATGGAGCAACATATTGTGTGTGAAAATAAATCATAAAAGTAGTTTGTTTAAAAATCTTATATGAGGTGACAAGGTGGGCATTTTACCCCACACAGGGTAAAAGGCTCACAAGCATGGGGCAAAAGTCACAAAGTACTGACACAAATACTTTAGCTAAAATAATATGTTGATACTAGTTAATAAGTTGTGTTGATAAGTTCATACTTCAAAACAATCACTTAAGCAAAGTTTGTACTATTTTCTGTTTATTTTGATGCATAAAATAAGTACATTTTGTTCAATAAATATACTGTCGTTAAAATATGTTAATATAAACATATATTTAAAAAATACTGAAGTTTTTTTTTTAAAGTAAAGATTATTTACTTTACATTGTAGATGATCCCGTAATAATTTAATATAGATTTACAGTAGTAGCAATAGGCTAAACATTTTATTATATGATATGATTAAAATCATATTCTTAAACATGATGGTTTAATTATATTTATGTGATTATATCTAACGTAGATAGACACCCTTAATATATGATACCATCTGAATCTAACCATGCATGTCAACAAATGGAAAAGTCAGCCAGCTGTTTATTATCATGTTAATTATTGTGCCTTTCTCCCCAACAGCAGGGGGCGCCTTTTACCCCAGATAACACACTTTTACACATTCTTCTGATATTGAAAAACTGTTGCTTTAATTAGCTTGAAAATCATTAAGACCTTTGTCTCTAAATACATTCAATAATTTTAGCGCTTCTCATTTGCTACTTAAATCTACAACATTTTTAAATAAACGTCAAATAATGGATCAAATTAGTGCAGAATCAACTTTGTGCTGCTGTCCGCGATCACATCAAGGATCAGCCAAATTTCCACGTGCATTTTGAAAAGCGTAGCTATGTTTTGGAAAGTGTTGCGTCAAGTTTTTGTGCCATCTAGTGGTTTAGAGGAAAATAAAATAAAAGGCGCCTTTTACCCATTTTACCCCGGTGTGCCTTTAGCGCTGTTATTGTTCCCCTCCCCTCCCCTCATGTGTTACATTTATTGTTGCTCGACACAATTTATTTTAAAAAAGTGCAATGTGTCAAGTGTGTGTTCCTCTCTTACAGGGAACATTCCAAAGATATGAGTGCAAAACAAGCCCATCTCCATGTCAGTGTGAACGGTGTGAACACGTACATCAAGGGCGAAAAAGAAAATGAAATCAGATTAAATGTCGCAGATCAATGATTTTCTACTTAGAGGCGATGGGAAAAAAGCAGAGCAGCAGGGTACGGCATGGACATCTGATGAGCTTTCAATTTGCATGAGACTGCATGGAATAAGCTATTCTCTGTAAACTTGGGAATGCACCACTAACATCTGTGAAACTACAACCATTGATCTCACACGTCACTGACCGCAGGAAAGATGCCGGGCCCGGGTTTCCACTGACCAATAACAGCGTTCCACCTAAACATAGGCCTATTGGTGCTTGGTCTAAAACATGCAGGTATTATATTAAAACGTTCCAAATATACATTCCAAATAATCATAACACTTTTGCTTTGTTAGTCTGAACCTTTTTTTTTTACAGTCTATGGTCTGAACAGTAACAGTCATTTGGGTTAAGAAACTATCAGAATTGTGTTTTTGTGCTGCTTTTGATTTAGTGTTTTGCCGTCCAGTGGATAATTGCTCTGTTGATTTAGTTTTCAAATCCATAAACTCTGCCAATGACTCTCTGTTTGGATCTATGTAACCGTCACATTTCAGCCACATGAGCGGAGATCAGCCAATGAAGACGAACATGACGTGCTCATCCAATTTGGTCGTGCAAAAGGTCTTTTGAGGTAAACTGAGAACCCACCCAGCAAAGTATACCATGTTGTAAAAACATTTATCTGAAGTTGTGAAAATGTTGCCATACTGTTCTCTTACAGATGTTTTTTAACATAAGAAATACACGTTTTTATAAAGAGGTGCATTGTTTTCCTCACACACACACACACACACACACGCACACGCACACGCACACGCACACACACAGCCTGTATATTATTACAGTATTTAATATTTTAAATGAGCTTTTATCAGTTTTCATTTTATTTCAGTTTAATTTGAGTACTTTTGTCATTTTATTAGCTTTTGTTTGTTAATATTTCTGATTTATTTATTACATAATTATTCTAATTATTTCTTAAATTAATTTATTTTTATTTCAGTTTTAGTAGGCTACTTAAATACAACTTAAACGTTTTTTTTTTTTTTTTTTTTTTTTTTTAATCTAATATGTATATTCTATTTTATTTCAGCTTTATGCCAATTAACCAAAAATGATTTTGAATAGTTTTAGTTTTAGGTCAACAATAACAACACTGACAAGGACACATCACATTGTAATATGGTTTTGATTTCACCATGTTTTTAAAAAACATATAGATTACATTAAAACCTAAATAAAATATTCCAGAAACATTGTAGTTTGTTCAGTTTTTGTTTTTAAAATGTTCCACAATGTTGCCTACTTTATAACCGCAACCAATATGCAAATCTGTGGAAGCGTGTTACGCTTGCTGGGCAGTTGTGCTAAAGAAAGAGAAATGAGCTGGTGCCATAATTTCAATTCTGGCATTTATCGTTGACACGCAATAATGATGACATCCTAAACTAGAGCACTCACACATTTCAGCAACCATCTGTGCCTCTTTCTCTTTCTCTGACCATCTCTCATTCTGTTCTTGCTCGCTCTGTTTGTACTGTAGTCTCGCTCTCTCTGTCTTGCGCTGTACTTCTCAGATAGAGATTGAAGACCCTTTGATTCCTCTGTCCCAGCGCGGATTCTGTGCTGCCCCGTATAACCTTCCCTCTCAATATCACTTCTAATGTTATTACTGCATCTGCTCCTCCATTCAGAACGCTCCTCTTTGACTGCCTGGTTCAAAAACGCTCCTTCTGCTTCCTTCCCAGACCAGCCAAAAATGCTTTGAACAGGTTCAGGCTTCACATGTGTGGGTTAAGCATTTGGCCATTTCTCCTGGCGACCCATCATGCATCTCTCTCCCTCTCTCGCCATTCCTATTCTTCTTTTCTCCCATCCCTCTTTCCAGCGTAATCTCCATTTGCATTCCTTTTTCTTAGAGACATATGCATGAGGGGAAAAAAATCTAGATTTGTACTTGGACATTATAAACAGTGTCTACGGCAGTATATGCACTCTAAAAAATGCTGGGTTGTTTTAACTCAATTTTGGGTAAAATATGGACAAACCCAAACGTTGGATTAAAAATTTTATTTAAAAATGTAACCCAAACGGCTGGGTTTGTCCATATTTGACCCAAAATTGGATTAAACCAACCCAGCATTTTTTAGAGTGTGTGGTTGTTTTCTTCCTTTCCATATCCATCCATCCATCAATCCATCTCTGTTCAAAAGTTCATATTTTTGTTGTTGATTTTTTATATATAAACGATGGCAGGCAGGCTTAAGGTTTAGAAGCATGTAATTTCATCAGAGACTTATGCAGATCCAGCAATGGCACAGACTCACTGACAGTTATAAAATGCAGTCAGACCACAGGGTCAGATTGAGGTCAGACCTTACAGACTCTTCAGAAAGCCAGGCTTTAAACATCAGTGTAGAGATAATGTCCCCCTTGAAATCACAATACAGCCTCTGGTTTTAATTGGCTGAAAAAATGTCTGGGCTTTTTTTTTTTTTCATGAAAGTCTGGTTTTAAGTCCAGCTGTGGTTATAGAATGACTTTAGAGGACAGATGGAGCATAAAACAACCTAATACCAGCGAACATGTGCACAATAGCACGACAAACACGATATTTACATAACGTGATTAAACATGCAAGCAGGGTCGCACATAACATCCGGCCAATAAATCATCCGCGGTCTATAGGGTGTCTGTCATCCGTTTGTTGTAACGGGTTTGAGTGTGTTTGTGCGGGATGTATCCATGTGTCACTATGCATATGTCAGAGGGAGAGTGTGTTTTGTTGTCAAGACCGCAGACGTCAAAAGACGGATGGTCAGAGTTCCGGAAGCTGACACTGCCTCGGTCATTCTGGCGCTTGTGGACGCCGTCCAGGTTCCCGAACCATCTGTGAGGGGGCAAGATGCCCTCCTGCTGGGCTAAGTGAGGGTAATGAGACGCATTGTCCCCGGGGCCTGTCAGGTTCCTGCTGGAAGTGCCATTGTGGGTTTGGCCAAAACATCAAGTGCGTGCCATCGTTCTAAATGTTAAATGCGTAATCAGAGCTGTTGAAAACAGGACAAAGGATGACACACATTTTCCTGCAGTGGCCCAGGGGATTGCCTCTACTCTTAAAAGAAAAGGTTATATAGAACGTTTTTACGGGTTCCCATCATTTTATGGATTTTGTTTTAATTAATTTAAATTTAGTTCATTATAGAACCCCATTGAACCTTTTATTCTA